CACCATCTGGTCGCGGGTTCCCTCCAGATCGCGACCTCATGCTTCGTGGGGTTCCTCCAGTCGCGACCTCTCTTTCTGCCTCTGCCCCATCTGCCGGAATTAGGGTGCCTCCACCGCGCCCACCGTCAACTCTGCTGCCTCTGCAACTCTGCCCATCCGACATGCTCCAGATCACGAAGCCCCCAAATTCGGCCACCTCGGCTTTTCTCACACCCACGGCTTTTCTGTGTTGTTGCATTTCTGATATTGTTGTTTTGGGGGTTCCTCCAGATCGCGACCTCTGCCTCTGCCTCTGCCGGAAATAGGGTTCCTCCACCGCGCCACCGTCACTGCTGCCTCTGCCTCTGCCTCCGACAGTGCTCCAGATCGCGACCTCTGTGTCGCGGGTTCCTCCAGATCGCGACCTCTGCGTCGTGGGTTCCTCCAGATCGCGACCTCTGCCTCTGCCTCTGCCGGAAATAGGGTTCCTCCACCGCGCCACCGTCACTGCTGCCTCTGCCTCTGCCTCCGACAGTGCTCCAGATCGCGACCTCTGTGTCGCGGGTTCCTCCAGATCGCGACCTCTGCGTCGTGGGTTCCTCCAGATCGCGACCTCTGCCTCTGCCTCTGCCGGAAATAGGGTTCCTCCACCGCGCCACCGTCACTGCTGCCTCTGCCTCTGCCTCCGACAGTGCTCCAGATCGCGACCTCTGTGTCGCGGGTTCCTCCAGATCGCGACCTCTGCGTCGTGGGTTCCTCCAGATCGCGACCTCTGCCTCTGCCTCTGCCGGAAATAGGGTTCCTCCACCGCGCCACCGTCACTGCTGCCTCTGCATCTGCCTCCGACAGTGCTCCAGATCACGAAGCCCAAATCGGCCACCATCGGCGTTTCTCCCCCAACGGCTTTTCTGTGTTGTGCATTTCTGATATTGTTGTTTTGGCTGTGAACCCCCAAATGGCTGGACGTCTGAGGACGACTGAGAACGGTTCAGGACGGCTGAAAAAAAAACCAATACGTTACTGCCTCGGTTATCTGAAAACCGAGGCACAATCCTATTTTTTTTTTACTTGACCAGCAACCGAGGCATAAAATCTACTATTTTTTATCTCGTTTGTATACGCCTCGGTTATGGAACCGAGGCCTATAAGGAAAAGTAACCGGTGTCATTTCCTGGTATTGTACTGGTGTACGTTCGAATTAAATATAACTGAATCAAGAATGCAATCCAAAAAGAATTATCAAATTAAGCAATTGTGGAAAAATCATGAATAAGACCAGTGTTAAAATTTCAGCTTGATCTAACGGTTAATAAAGTGGAAATCTTTTTTTTCTTTTCAAGAAAACTCTGACCTAAGAAAAGAAGGTATAGGACCAGTTTCATACTACCCAAATGAAATCTCACTAAGGCATTCATAACACAACCAAATCAGAATTTCATTCTTCATACAATTTTACAACTGAAGCAAAACATATGTCAATGTAATCAGATTCACGAATTCAAAGCTCAATGAAAGATGCTGTAAATCATACTCAACACAAACCAAATCAAAAAATAATTACAAGCTCGAGGTTTCACAACATCCAAAAGGAGTCAAGCATCACGAAATTCAATCACATTTGATGTGCCATCCTTTTTTGTTTCCTTACTATTTTAATGTAAAAAACATTATTAACAAATGAAAAAACGTTAAGCTAGACACTCTCAAACATATCTAGTTAATTTAATAATTTGGATAAAAAAATTCTCTAATTTGATGAAGAAAAAGAAAAGTCTATCCAGAATAAATTATCCTCTACGGTTCATACCTTTTTTTCTTTCATTTCTTAGTACTTTACTTCTTCTTTCTCAAAATTCTTTAGTCTTGTTCTCTCATTTTCTCTGTGATGAACCTAGACCACTGCTGTAAAGAAGATGCCTCATGGCTAGCCGCCATTTAATTAGTGAGACAGCACATTGTATTTGACCTCTGCAAAAAAGCTTAGCCATTTTTATTTGGTGGAGAAAAAAGTTTTTATTCGAAACTTTTTCTTATAAACATAAATATACTATTCATGGTCCTTGTACTTCCATTTTGTTCTGTCATTTGCGGTTGATCATATCAGATTTCATCGCCCTACTTTTTCCTTAGTTGGCAATTTGATATGATCTACGATGAAATACAATGCTGTGTACTTTTTCCTTACGTTGGCAATTTGATATGATCTAGGAATGAAACACGATGCTGTGTATAAGGGCTTGTCGGTGTCTCTAAGGAGACCACCAAATGCAAGCCACAAAGTCTGTTCCCTGCTGTCAATATTATTCACTGTCACAGATTACTGTTTCAGATTAAGAAAGAGAGGACGAGCATTGCAGAATAACTTAGTGCACAAGGGTGATTTTAGGTAGCATATATATAAGGTTACAAGTTCAAAAACCAAATGTGATTGTGAAAAAATAAGACTGTTGATATTTTAGCATCATATTCTGGTAACAACTATTGTACACTACTCCAATAATAATAATAATAATAACTATTTTAAATATTAATAATTTTTAATTTAGTTAATGTAAAAGTTAATTGTTTTTATCTTTAAATTTAATTATTATTTAATAATTTATTTTAATATAATGATATAAAATGTTATTTGTATTATCTTACAACACTATTAATAAAACAATTGTAGTATCAAAATTTAAATCTTAGTACATTCCTTTTTCTTTTATTTGTTTTCTTTGCAAAGAAAAAATAAAAGAACATTTTGTAGTTTTACTTTTTTGTGAAATAAAAAAGTTGAATATGTATTTTTTTCAAATTATTATAAAAATATATATTTCATCTTAAACTAAATTATTATGAAGTAGTTCTTCTTTCTAATTTATAAAATCATCTAAACTTCATATTTAATAAATCATGTGAAAGTTATATTATAATTCAATATAAAATTTCATTTGTCAAGTGAAAATCACTTTACCTACATGACAACTTTTTAAAAATGTACCAACTAAATAATTTATAATTTAATTTAAAAACCAAAAACAATTTTTATAATAATTTAAAAATAGAGAATATAATTAACCTAAAATAAAACTATCTTTTTTTACGTGAATATCATACTCTCTGGAACCTTATCCATATTTCTACATTCCTACTATCTTTTTCTTTTGTGTCAATGCTAATTTCATTCATTTCCAATATCCACAACCTAAAAGTTGTGCCTTTTCTATTTCTCTTCATACGTTTCTTTTTTCATCTCTTGTTGATTTTTGTTATTTTTTTTACAGAAAAACTTAGGAAAGAACATAGGTTCTTAAGAAATAGGAAAACATCTAGGTAAAAACACTTAGACGCAGGGATAAACGCTATTGTGCCTGAAACGTCTAAGAGAGTTGGAGTTAAACACACTAGTAAAAAAAATACTTTTTAACACGCTATATATGCCTCGGTTTTACTGAAACCAAAGCGTATAAAAGCATAGTGGCATTTTCGTAGTTTTAGAAAAATTATATGCCTCGTTTCAAAACATTACAAGAAAAATCACAGTTACATACGGTCAAAATCCGTATATAACCTCCAAAATTCGTATATAAATTAGTGTTGCATACGAATTACATACAGACAAAAATCCACATATAAAAAAGGCATAGATAAATTATATACGAATATATCCGTATATAAATTACATATGAAAAAATCCATATGTAAGTTACATACGAAAAAATCTGTATGTAAATTAGATATGAAAAAAATCTGTATGTAAGTTACATACAGAAAAATCTGTATGTAATCAACCTAACAGTATATCAATCATTAATTACTTATATCAGTGACAAATTTGGACAAAATGAATTAAACCACAAACAAACATTTTACATTAATATATAAATTACAAATTCTACAATCCAGTAGTTAGCCAAACCAACATAAAATCTTAGACCAACTTAAATTAAAGCTAGGCAAATGAAAAGAACTATAAAACAAAAAACTTATAGCTCATATTTTGGATTTCATTAATAAGAAACATATGGTAACCACATCACAACCAAAAACTCATGAAGTTCAATACTAATTTAGCAACTTGTAATCACAACCAGAACAATTATGTTTGAGCTTTATCATCTTTTGTTAAAGCTTTTTCAACCTACAATGACAAAGAAAAGTTTAATGAAGTTAAATCCAATAAGAAAATTTGAACAAAAAGGTTAGACCATGGTAGTTATTGAGGGTATTATCTAGTAATCACCATTAACTCTTGGAATAGAGTAGCACAAATAGATCAAAATGGCATCCCTATGGTTCTTTATGCATGATTTCGTATGATCAAATAATTAAGCAACCTTTTACATATTTACGATGCAAATGAACCAATTGATATCTTCATGTGATGTGATAACTGTCCACGGGTAATTCAATATTAAAAGTTTGCTTTACTTAGACTTTGTAATTCAAACCAAATTTGTAAAAATGTCTTAAGATATATAAGAATACTATCATTTGATAGTAAGGGTCAATAACACCCTTGAAGTAGCCGCACTTGGAACCGAGCAGGGAACCCGAAAATTTCTTAGATGAAAACTCGTTCTGAGACTACCATGAAAAGAATAAGGACCAAGAAATAAACCCTTCAGGCTTCACTATCGAAAATTTAGAAATTCTTTTGAAAGGGGAAAATAGAAAGTGAAGTTATGTATACCTAGTTTTGGTGAACTTTTCCATTTATGCCACGAAGAGGCACAAAATCGTCGTGTCTCTCCAATCCTCTTTGTCCTTCCAACACTTGACATTGCCTGCACTCGACGATAGAGCAAGAGTTGTTCTACCCTCAATAACTTCGGCTAGGGTTTCCACCTTGTCTGTAGGCGTGAGCTATCGAGCCGCGAGCGGATGAAGCACGAGTGGTGGACCTCTGCTAGGGTTTTCACCTCGTATAGAGCTTGGGCAAGGGTTTTGAATGAATCAACAATCTTTCTTTGTCATGGAGAAGGAAGAAGGAAGAAGCAGGTGCGACTCATTTTTCAGTTCCAGAGAGATTTTCCAATGTGAGTGAGTGATACAACTCTTATGGTTCTAGGGTGCGAGGCAACACGAAAATTTGTAGTGACTTAGCACAAAGATTTAGGGATTTAAGGATTTAGGGGACGAGCAAAGAAGAAAGATTGAATGAAGAAACTTACTGATTGAACGAATAACACTCCCAAGTGAGCATGATGTCCAACAAGGTGAGTAAACACAAGAAGAATGAACGAACTTCTTCTCTTTGAGTGAGCGTGAGCGAGAAGAACGGTTAGTGTGAGACATTCTTCTTCTCTACCAGTGACCGTGAGCGAGTGTGAGTGAGAAAGCTTTAGTCAGTGAGCACGAGACTTCGACACTACCATTCCAGCCGTCTCCACGTGAGTCTGAGAATGAGTTAGGGTTCCAAGGGGAGAACCAACAAGGAGGCATGACTGGTGGAGCGGTCTCCAATCCCCTCAACCTTGTAATGAAGCACATAGTGGAGGCTAGGGTTCGAGGAGAGGGTAACACGAAAGAGGCATTTGCAGTGGAGGTTAGGGTTTCAATGGAGGCTAGAGAAGAAGGGTTGCATAAAAATGGCTTGAAGAGAGGGAAGAACAAGAGCTCGAGAGGGAAGAACAAGAGCTCGTGAGGGAAGAAGAGGGGCTCGATGGCTCGATGAGAGGGAAGAAGAAGGAGTCGAGGAGAAATTTGCAGTACTGATTTTGTCTCCTACATTTTCCATTAGGTTTAATTTTTTATTGTAAAATCCATATATAATATCTGTATATAAGGGAGAACCCACTTATATACAGATTTTATATACAAGTTTATCTTTGGCAAAGCTCCCGCCAAAAGGCACCAGCATTACATACAAATTTTACATACGAAAAATCCGTATATAAA